GGGAAGGGGTAAGGGCGCCGCGTGGGGGGGCGGGCCGGGTGGCGCCCTGGATAGGGCGCCGCTTGGGAAGCGCGGCGGCGCTCCCGTCCGAGGGTTCGGATCCCACATACAGACCGGCTCCCGCTCACTGGCTGAGCGAGGTGCGGGAGCAACACCGAGGCTTGCGATCCCGTTGCCGGTCCCCGGTCCGGTACGGGGGCAACACTGAGGGTTGCGATCCGTTGCCGGACACGGAAAAAAAAAAAAAAAGATCTCACCTGTGCACCACTAGTCAGGCCCTGCTCCCTCAGGCCGCGTGCATCTGGAGGGCGCCTTCTAGTTTGCACAGAAGTGTCCTGTGGGCTAGCAGCAGCTAAGAAAATCTTCTGTCCTTATCATTGATAACTATTTCTGAACCATGCTGTGGGAAAAAATCAATATAAAATGTACCTATGAAGATGCCATCTCTCTGCAAGAGCTTCTGGCCATTACAGCGTTTCTTATAGTGTGGTCAGAAGACCTCCTGTTGAAGCTCATCTAAATGCTAAGTGCCAAGCACCAGCGCAGATCTCCTGAATCTGAATCTCTGAGGGTGGGGCTCAGGAATATGTATTTGAACCAGCCGCATAGATGATCCACATGTGAACTGAAGTTTGAAACCCACAGGTGTAGTGACTAGAGAAAACCTGGAGGAGACGAGCTGTACGTTTTCCTATGAGCGCCTCAGCTGCAGTCCCAGCTCCTGGTGCGGCAGGAGGAGCGTCAGGCAGGGAGATGGCCTGGTTCTCTCGCTGACGCGCGTGCGGACCATTCATTCTGTCTCCACTCCAGTTTCTTCATTTGCAAAATAGGGAAAGGTGACTACATCTGGGAATTTCGTTCAGTGAATAACACAGAGAGGTGCCTCCTGTCAGTTAAATCCTTCCAGAAAGAGGTGGGTTTGAACTCCAGCAGAAACATCTGAAATGAAGAGAAATGAGAACCAATCCATCAAGATAGATGTCAAAATAATGAGCTAACTTAAAAAAATTAAAATAGGCCAAATTCTGCCACTAAAAGGAGAGCAAAGGCTTGAAAACATGCCATCAGTAGTCAATGCAAAAACTCAATCCGGAGTGGTGTACGTGGGCCTGTTTCTGACTACCAAGAGTTAAATACACATCTACTGCACATGTGTGTGTGTTTAACAGGGAAGAAAAATTGGAAGGGAATTTGTTAATATGTTAGTATTGATTGTCACTGAGTGGTAGATTCAGCAGTGACTTTTATCCCTTCCTTTAGTTTTGTTACTTTCCAAATTTTCTGCAATGCACATATTATCACATTCATGTATAGGGGAAGGGTTTTCTTTTCCAAGGAGAGAAGACATAATGACTGCTGGAGGAATACACTGTAACAACTTAAAGCTGGATGTAAGTTAAGGGTGTGGGTTTCCGTTCCATAGAGGAACAAGAGACAGGCACAGAGGCCAAGATGCAGCAATGCTGAAGAGGTGACCCCAACCTGGTGACACCAGCAGCTGCCAGACACAGATGGTCAGTCATGACTGGGGGGACGCCAGCCCTGGGGAATGCAGTAAAGAATTAAAGAAAATCTCTTAGACACGGAGACATTTCAGAGTAGACGTCACAGGGCCTGTAGTGCCAGCTCCAGGGCGAGCCTTCATAGGAAACAGGTCCTCCAGAGACTTGTCAAAACCTGAAGATAAGGACAAAGGCAATTTCTCAGAAGCAACTCAAAAGAAATGTGAAAAAGTATCTAAGTTTGTGAGAACAACACTTATATCAGGCCTCACCATGCAGCCCTTTGAGCGTGGAAGGAATTGGAGAGAAAGTAACACCTACTTCAGAGCCAGTGCTCTCATCCCAAGCCCAGTACCAGCCAGACATGCTTTTCTCTCGGGCCATGGAAGGAAGATATTCAGAAATATGTAGATGATATGAAGAAATTGTCAGTGAAGTTGCACAGTTGTATAGCTCATTATGAGCAGAAACTAAGTCTCAGAGAAATATGAAAGGTCCTGTGGAAGATGTATTAATTTCCTAGGTCTGCCGTAACAAAAGACCACAAACTGGCTGGCTTAAAACAAGAGTTCAGGAGGCCAGACGTCCACGGTTAAGGTCTCAGCAGGGCTGTTCTTTCTGGAGGCTCTGGAGAGAAACTGTTCCATGCCTCTCTCCTGGCTTCTGGTGCTTACCAGAGTGTTCTGTGTGGTGTATTCACATGACCTCCTTCCCTGTGTGTCTCTGTCCACTCTTACTCTTACAAGGACACCGGTCATATTGGATTAGGGCCCACCCTAATCCAGTGTGACTGCATCTTAATTAATTGTGTCTGTGAAGACCCTATTTCCAAGTGGATTAGTCCGTTTCTGTTGCTTATAACGAAATACACAGAATTGGATAATTTGTAAGAAAATGAAATTTGTTGCTTACAGTTTCAGAGGCTGGGAAGTCCAGAGTCCAGGGAACACATCTGGTGAGGGTCTTGGTGGTGGCAACAGTGACCCAAGGGTCTCACATGGTGGAAAATGGTGGAGGAGAGAGAGACAGACTCTTCATTTTCTCCTCTTAAAGCCCTCAGAACCACGCCCCTGACCTCCATTATCAATCCATTCGCTAGGGCACAGTCCTACAATCCAATCACCTCTTCAAGGCCCCGCCTTTCAATGACCATAATAGCATTTCCCACCCTCTTAACAGTCACAGTGGGGGCCAAGCCTCCAACACATTAAACTTTGGGGGGACCCAATTCAATCCACTACACCAAGTAAGATCACATTCTGGGGTCCCAGGTAGACATGAATTTGGGGGGGACATTATTCAACCCAATAAAGAAGAAAAGTATATTTGAACATTGTATTAATTAGGACTCTTTCATTGCATGTGTGAGAAACCACTCCCTACCGTAACCAGGAAGGGAACTGGTTGTCCCGTAACTAGAACGCTCAGGAGCTGTCCTATGGCTCCAGGCACTGTTTGGTTCTGATGCTCAAACAGGGAACTCGGGAGTCCATCACTCTTTGCCCGCGGCCACTTCTGCTTGCTCTTCCATGTGGCCACAGAGCTGGGTTTGAACTCCAGCAGCCTGACGCCAGAGCTCAGCCGCTACTCAGTACTGCCTCTCCTACGTAGCAGTGGCCTCCGTCCCCTGTGCTGGCCTCCTATTGCTGCTCACAGTCCTGCAGGGTGACAGCCCAGCCACGGCATAGCTGGGTTCTCTGCTCAGGGTCCCACAGGGCTAGAGTCAAGCTCTATTCTCCTCTGAAGACCCCGCCTCCAAGTTCATTCAGGGTGTTGGCAGAATTCACCTGCCGTTATAGGTCAGTGGTCCTCATTTCCCGGACAGCTGGCGGCTGGGGCTCACGCTCAGCTCCTGGAGGCTGCCCCTCTCGGTCCTGCTTGCTTCCAGGCCAGCCAGAACCCATTTCTCCCTCCCTCTTCCGCTCACAGCTGGAGAGAACTCTCTACCTTCATAGGGCTTCTGTGATCAGGTCAGGCCTACCTTGATCATCTTTCTGTCTTAAGGTCATAGGTACCATACAACATAACCTAACCACAGGAGTCAAATCCATCATGTTTATAGTCCCAGGGAGTGTGCAGGGCGTGGATGCTGGGAGGGGGGTGGATAGAACCCTGCCTACCACGTCCTCTCTACCACTAGAGGGCCAGTGGCCCGAGGCTGATGGGACAGGCATTGGGTTAAGCCTATCTTACTAGAGGAGAAAAACCCAAAGAAACCCAGAGCCATGGAAGCTGGTGTCTTCTGGCTGCTGCTTCTGTGGCTGGGTTTTGCCACCACTTTTACATGGAGACTCAGAGCAGAGCTCTTGCTGACACAGGCTGCCCCTGCATTTGGGGAGATGTCACTCCTCCCAGCCACCCACGTGTGCTGGGGCAGCCACAGGGAGCCCTTTACTGCTCTCCTGCAGGGTGGCGAGTATTTGAGCGAGTGAGCTGGGGGATGTGGGGGCTGCCGCGGGCTGCAGCTCACCCTGGCACCAGCGGGCTCTTCAGCTCCAAGTGCCACTTACGAGGAAGAGCAGGAGGCATGGGGTGGAGGGACACCACTGCCTGGCCTAAGCAGCAGGCAGGGAGGAAGGGGAGAAAGGAAAACGGAGAGAGGTAAAGGAGGTGGAAAGTGGGAAGACTGGGGAAAAAAGCAGCAAGGAAGCAAGAAAGAGACACTGACGATCCAGGGCTATTTGTAGGGCAAATGCCACCAACAGGGGCTCAGAGGGCTCACACATAGCATGGCCCTCCAAGGCGCTGGTGGCCATCTTCAGCCTTGCATCTCCCTTCCCTCAGGGAACCTGGAACAAGCCAATGAGGAGTTGCGGGCCATAATCAAGAAGATCTGGAAGCGGACCAGCATGAAGCTGCTGGACCAAGTGGTGCCCCCTGCAGGGGGTAAGCGCTCCCGGCCTCACCACAGCCCCTGCCCAGCTCCTGCTGCTGTGGCACCGTCTAGGCAGACGGGGGATGTGGTGGGAGAGAGACTTCACCGTACACCTTTCTATAGATTTTCCTTTCTTTGAGCCCTGTAGTACCTCTCCAAAACAATTAATGAAGTGCAACATAATTCCTCTGCTGATCTGTAATTCCCTGTCCTCTCTCCATGTGTCTTAGATGATGAGGTCACGGTTGGCAAGTTTTACGCTACTTTCCTGATCCAAGAATACTTCCGCAAATTCAAGAAGCGCAAGGAGCAGGGGCTGGTGGGCAAGCCCTCGCAGAGGAGTGCCCTGTCCCTGCAGGTGAGGCGCCGCGGGCGCTCCCCGCTGTGACAGTCTTGCCCACCCTCCTCTCGCCTTGGGCCAGGGTCCTGGTCTCTCGCCAGTAGGCCAGAGGCCACGTTCCTTCAGGAGGAAACTTTCTGAGAACTCCAAGCCTCTCTGAAGGTGGATGTGAGAAGGGGATGACGAGCCCTCCATCCTGCCATCCTCCCTCCATGGTCCTTTCACAGCCCCCAGAGCATCCGTACACTCTGCCCAGGTCCCTATGACAGCCCCTGGTCCCCGGCAGGCCCTCCTAATGTGCCTTCATCCCTCCTGGGTGCATGAATGGATTCTCCCACCTTAGGGAAGCCCCTGCACCGGGTCACACACACACAGACCCTTGGCTTGCTGGCTGGGTGGTGGAGCGCCAGGACCCCAGGGTCAGGTCCTGTCCCAGGGAAGCTGGGGGAAAGGACCAGCGTCCTCACACGTCCCCTGGGTTCCAGGCTGGCCTGCGTACACTGCATGACATCGGGCCTGAGATCCGTCGGGCCATCTCTGGAGACCTGGCAGCCGAGGAGGAGCTAGACAAGGCCATGAAGGAGGCTGTGTCTGCTGCCTCCGAAGATGACATCTTCAGGGTAGGTGGCTGTCGCAGTAGCACTCTTTCACCTTCATGAGGTTCCATTTGAAGCAAAAGAAGGCGGCTGGTGTTACACAGAGAAATCCCAGGGAGAAAGGCCTGAGCTCCCCCAGCTCAGCTGTCTCCTTATCCCTTCGCCTTCCAAGCCCGAGTCCACCTCATGTCAGGGCTCCCAGCCATGACAGCCCACAGTGTCACTGGCTCTCAGAGGAGGGGAAGGAGCCGTTTTCCTAATGGGAATGTTTCTTAGGAGAAACTTCTGATTAGAAGTGGCAACGTGTTAGCCCCTGGGCCACATCGAATCTGCAGACCTGTTTTGTTTGCCAATATTTTAAAATCTGGCACATTCAAGTAAATGTCTAGACTTCTGACTTCCCTTTAAAAAAAATCAGGAGATCTGGCAATTTGGGGCCTGCATTCCCACATGGCAGCCAGGGCTGGAGCCATGTGGTGGCTGCCCACTGAGATGGAGCCTGAGCTCTCAGGGTCACGAAAGTCTTTACCAGTCCTCCCTCTCTCCTGGAGACCGAGGCTGCTGTCAGTGGCAACAGTGGAAACTAAACGTGACCACACAGAACGCCAAACCCTTACATCCTGCGGTCTCCACGCTGCACTCCCTGCCCCACGCCGGTGGGTCGGGTCAAATTCCTTCTGTGGCAGGGGAGGAGCCACCGACCCCAACAGTGCAGGGCCCTGCTCACACCCACCTCCACTGTGTGCCAGCCCCTGGGCTGTGGACACAGGGTGAGATGGCCGTCCTACCTGTGGCTGCCCCTGGGCTGTGGAACACAGGGTGACATAGCCATCCTGCCTGTGGCTGCCCCCATCCTCATCCTCGTCCACATCCCCCAAGATCTTCATCATGGAACGGCCTCAGAGGCACAGCACACATTCACACTACCCCACAAGACCCCAGAAACCAAAGGCTTAGTTACCACAGTCTAGGGTGACATTCTGATGCCCACGATCAGACCAACCCTGCTCACCTGCCCCAGTAAGGAAAGGATGTTGGGAAAAAAACGTTGGCTCCTGATTTTAAATCCCTGAGAGCAGCCTAGGAGAAAGGAGGCTGTAATTTTATAGATGCGGTTAATTCCTCATCCTTATTTCCAGAACTGCTTGGCCAGTACAGTTTCTAGCTCTATGAGCCGGTTGGATATCCATTTTTAAAAACCTAGTTAGAATCTTCTGGTCCCTTGCCAGCCCTCTGCCCCCACCATGTGCTCTGCCAGACAGAGGAGCTGGCTGCTGTCCAGGCCTGCCTTCCTAGACTCATCCGTGAAACCCCATCCCAGTCTTTAGGGGTCCATTAGAAACCCCCAGGGCAGGGCAGCTCTTCCATCAGCAGCCTCCCTGCCTGGCCCATAGGTGCCCACAGGTGGGGGAGTCCCTGCCCCACCGTGCTCCCAGCCACATTGAGGGAGTTGCAGTGCCTCATGTGTCTCGGCCCCTCTCTCTCTGGAGCTGCCTGCATGACCATTTCCCCGGCTGCGTGTGCTGCCCAGCGGGACTGGGTCTCCCTGGAGGGCAGACAGCCTTCCTGGGCCACAATCCTCTGACCTGGCGGGCTGAGGGCCCTCCTCCGGAGAAGGCAGCTAAGGGGCCTCCTCTGACAGCCACCCCTCCCGTCCTGCCTACAGAGGGCTGGTGGCCTGTTCGGCAACCACGTCGGCTACTACCAAAGTGATGGCCGCGGCGCCTTCCCCCAGACCTTCACCACCCAGCGCCCACTGCACATCAACAAGGCGGGTAACAGCCAAGGCGACACTGAGTCGCCGTCCCATGAGAAACTGGTGGACTCCACCTTCACCCCCAGCAGCTACTCGTCCACTGGCTCCAACGCCAACATCAACAACGCCAACAACACTGCCCTGGGCCGCTTCCCCCACCCCGCCGGCCACGCCAGCACGGTCAGCACTGTGGAGGGCCATGGGCTCCCCGCGTCCCCTGCCATCCGGGCTCAGGAGGCGGCGTGGAAGCTCAGCTCCAAGAGGTAAGTGGGGGGAGGGAGGGCGCCCCGGGCTGTGAAGGGGCCTCATGCACCCTAGCCCAGGGGAGAGCTCAGCCCAGGCCTGCCTCTCAGCCCTCAAGCTTCGACGGAGCTGCTGTCCCCGGCCCCAGCGAGAGAGGCAGGCACTAGGCTGCCCCCCAAGTCCTGCCTGCTAAACACGGCAGCTGCGTCCCGCGGTGCCGCATCTGGGACAGAGCCCTCTATGCTCTCATCCTTCCTGAGCAGATGAGCACTGGCCTGTGATCCTCTGAGGTGTTTGTGCTCTGGCTGCACAACAGAAAGCATCCCCTCTGCCCTTTCCCAGTGTCTGCCCAAACCTGGCCTTTCACCAATTGGGAGGAGAGTGGAGCTGTCGTCCCTACTTTACAGCACTAGGCCACCTCTGCTGGGGCAGCACTGGCCCATCCCCAGTGGCAACTGCATCCCCCCCTCCTGACTGGCACTTCCCCCCATCCTCTGCCATCTGGGGTGCTGGGACGCACTGCTGTGGAAGGCTGGGGCCAGGGGTCCGTGCCCACACTGTGGGCCTGTGTGGTCTCCTCTCCTTTGCATCAGCAGCTCTTGGGGGCGAGGACGCCCTCTGCTTCCTGCTGCTGGCCCCTCCATTGTGCGGCTCTTCCAGAGGAGGCTAGACAGGTCCCCAGCAGGCCAGGTTTAGTGCAGGTCTCCCTTCCTGCACTCCAGCTCAGAAAACAATTGAGAAGTGAGAGTTTCTAACCCCTGGACACGTGTCCTGAAGCTGCTCCCATTGGAGCCATCATGCCTGCCCACTGGCTTTCAAATGGCCACACGCAAGCCACATGGCTTCAACCCAGTCCTTCAACTCAGGAGACATACTGATGCCTTCTCTGCGCAGGGCATATGCTCAGTGCTGGGTTTTATGTGCTGGTCAAAGGCTGGCTTTACCCAGAAGCATGTCCAAGCTTCAGTGGCTTACCCATGCCTGTCTCAGGTCCCCTTTCCTCAACCCACTCCTCTTCTATAGCCTTTGAGAACTCAGTCCTAGTACCAATTCCTCCCCTGCTCACCTCTTCTTAAGGATGAGGTTTTATGAGATGCTTTTGGGTTCATCATTAGCATCTCGGTATAAATTAAATTACCTCCCTCAGAGAGTATTTTCATATTAAACTTTGTTCTATATTAAATAACGGAAGGGTAATTTTAGAGAGGATCTGGGGAGAAGACATCAGGGGGAGTTCTTTGTCCCACAGATGCATCTGTCAATGAAATAAAAACACATGCAAAGCCCCTAGCACCCTGCCCAGCACGTGGGCCGAGCTTGCTGAATGCCGCTTGCTCTCCCGTGGCAGCTGGCAGGCTCGCGCTTGGGCTGCTGGGTGCCGCCCTGGCCAGGAGGAAGAGCACAGCCGGTCCTCACTCTGGGCCTCGTGCTTCACGTGGCAGCTCCGGGCTGAGGGCCATGGCCCTGGCACGTGCTGCCTTTGCTGAGGACAGGCTAGTGTGTGGCCATCCCATGCACCCCACCCCACCTAGAGCATGCAGGGTCTATGGGAGGAAGGATGGAGCCGGTGCTGAGCTCAGCGCAGATGGGAAGGGAAGAGTGCTCAGCCCAGAGCTAAAGACAGGACAAAGGAGCGAAGACCTGTCCCGGAGGGGAGCAGGACGATGCCAAGCACATCCTGCTGTGGGAGGGTCAGGAAAGACTCAGGCTCGCTCCCCTCTGCTCAGGAGAACAAGCCCCTCTGTGTTGAGGTTTCTTCTCTGGGCCTTTACTCCAGGGAGCCAGTGTCAGAGTCAAAGACATCAAAATACGACACCAGGAAGTCCTCAGCTGGGCCCCATAAACACCTGTAGCCAGGAGGGGGACAGCCCTCCCACCGGCCAGCCTGCCCTGTATGGTGCAGCCCAGGGCCCTTTAGACCCCTCAAAGCACCATCTGTTACCTCGGTTGTTACTCAAGCCTCTGAGTCAGGCAGGGCACACGTGATTCTGACTTCACAAAAGGGGAAACTGAGTCACTTAGGTGAGCTAAGTGACATGAGGTCAGAACTCAGATCTCCTGGGATCCTAACCCAGAGGCTCTTCTCCCACACAGAACCCTGACCCTGACCTTGACAATGCTGTGCTCCCACGGCCTCATTCTTCCAGGAAGAAGCCACTGCATTGGGCATGTGTGCCTGCGTGTGTGCCTGTGTATGTGCGTGTGCCTGCGTGTGCACGAGTGCGTGCCTTACTTGCTGCGGGAGAGGCAGGAGGGTCGGCAGGTCCCGATTTTTTCTCCGTCTTGAACATTTCAGGTGCCACTCCCGGGACAGCCAGATAGCCATGGTGTGTCAGGAGGAGGCATCTCCGGACGAGACCTGTGAGGGGAAGACAGAAGGAGATGCCACGGAGTACTTCGCCAGGTCTAGCCCTTGCTCCACAGACATGTGAGCATGCACCTGCCCCAGGCTGCCACAGGGCTGCCCTGCGCCCTCCTTTGGGAGTGCTCTGGGGGTGGGGAGGAGGTCACGTATGCAAGCCGCTGTCACCTCAGTGGGGGAGGGGAAGCCCAGCCCCTACCCCCACTGTCCCACCTTGGCCCCTCCTCATTATAGTGAGATTTTATAAATACTTCCAGGAAAACTTCTACACATTGTATCCTAAACTCTAGGCTGCCACCAACAGTCAGAAGAGTAATTTCTGGAGAGACTCAGTGCACACACTCACACACTGACAATCAATCAAGCTTCATGAACTACTTACACTAAAGCTGCCCAGAAGAGGTGCTGTTGGCAAATCCAGGGCTGAGATTTTTGTCCTTGCTGGAATTTGGGGGGTAGGGTAATTGTGGATCTGGATCCATTTAGTCAGTTAAGACCAGCACTTTTAAATGAACAGTGAATAGTGTAGCACAGGAAAATAGAAAGTATCAGAGTGGATCAAATGTCACAAAGGTAAGTTGTTTCATGAAACATTTGCTTAATTGCAAATGTCTCCCTGTAAAATGTATTTATGACTGTGGCTTATATTCTAAACAGCTTAAGATACACTCTTTTAGAAGCTTCCCTGAAAGCACTTTATGGAAGGACCAGCCTGTCAGGCTTTTGGGGAAAAGGAAGTCGTGGCTGGAGAGGTGGTGGCAGAGGGACAGCAGGCCCCGGAAGGGCTGGGCAGGACGGGACCCAGCATGCAGCACCCTGGAGTCCAGCACGTCTGCCCAGGGGGCTGGGTGGGATGAGCAGCGAGGCGTCTCCTCCCCCCGCACCCCCCGGCATAGTGAGAACAATCTAGCAAGTGTGGAAAACACGGAGACCAGCACCTCTTGACAAATCAGAAACTTCCCTGTGCCCTCCTGCCCCATCAGCAAAACGGGGTGGTGGGGTGACTCACCTACTTTTCTGACTCAGTGAAACATAGTAAACACTAAGCCAGAAGAAGCATCTGCAGTTCCTTAAGAGATGACACTCCCCACACGGATGTGCAGAGAACACAAATCGGTCCATGACCACAAACCTAGAGATCAGGAAAAGCATGCGCTTGAGTCCATTTTGGCTAGTTGGAGGGCTCAGTGCACCCAGGTAGTCTGCCGGGCGGTAAACGAACCATCCCCACCCTCAGGAGAGTTTACAAACGAGATAGGAAGCCAAGAGGCTCTCAGAAGAGGAGGTTTTCTACCCACAGAGCGGCACAAACACTGGGGGCTCACGATCCAGGAAGGGCAGAAGAGCAGGCTGACAGTAAGGGGCACCTCACGCTGGGTCAACTAGAAGCTGGGTCTGTGAGAGTGGGGTGACTTGGAAGAGAAGAAGACAGAGCAGGGAGGGCTCCAGAATGAGCAAGCTTGGAGGTGTGAGTGCGGGAGGTTCTCACGCAGCGAGCCTTGCTGTGCATCTCCAAGGCCCGGCACCACCATGCCAGCGCAGCGGTGGGTTCACAGACCACGAAGGCAGCAGTCTCTGCCCTCAAGCTGTATGTGGCAGCACCAGGGACAGAGTGGCCTCATCTGTGAAATGAGGTTGGGCTGCAGCTGACCCACCAGGGATTGTAAAATCAATGTAGTGGGCTGCAACTGACATTTTTAAATAAAATAGAGCACACTAAAGTAGAATAGAAATTCACAGAGTGCAGTGCATACAATGAGGGTAAGTATATAGGTCATGAAGTTTCATTTGACTGGGTATGTCTGTGCATACTTGGAATATGTAAAATAGATTTCTTATTATGAGTCACCATCTTGGAAGGCTTGGAAGCCATTGACTAGATATCCCCTAAGGCCCCTCACAGCCCTGCTCTTCACTAACTGAATGAATGTGCATTTATCATGGAAAACTGTTATGTGTGTGCTCTTGAAGATGAAGGGACTGGCAGGGCAGGGGAAATCAGGGGGTGGGGCATGAGTTGGGCTAAAGTTGAGAGTGGCCATGGTAAATAGCACTAGAGTGTGTAAACACAGGAGCCTGGGCCAAGCCTTGGAAAAACCTTATGGACCCAGAATTTTTTTAACACCTTTGACCCAAGAGTGCCTCAGATCAGCAGTGTAAGGCACATAGACAGGCTGTGGATGGGGAGCTGGAAACTGCCAACAGGTAGCTTAGAAAACCTTACCTAGGATGCCAGAGAGCAGGGAAGGATTTCCCAGTGGCACATTCCTGCTGCCTTTCCCTCAAACCTGTATACAAGCACAAAGTGGGGGTCCCTTCACTAAGGAGAAAAGCAAACTGCTTTCTGTGGATGGCAGCCGTCCCTATGGTGTGGCACTTCTGGCCAAGGAACAAGCCCCACGTTCCCTGTTCCAGGCTCTCCTACCAAGATGATGAAAATCGACAACTGACACTCCCAGAGGAGGACAGGAGGGACACCCGGCAATCTCCAAAGAGGGGCTTCCTCCGCTCCGCCTCTCTAGGTAAATACATACCTTGCTCTCCAGATATAGCCTGCGGTCACCCCCAAGATGACACTGGTCAGGTACTCGGCCATGCTTGAGAAACCATGTGGTCTGAAGAGAAACCATGTGGTCTGGTTCAAACAACCTCCATGCAGTGGTCTGGGCAGATTTCCAAAGAGACAAAACAGAATTCCAAAGACAGAGTGTGCTGGGATGGGACTTGGATGTATGCTACACAGTGTATCTCAGACAAGGCGAGGGGCACTAAGGAACTGTATCCAGGGCCACTAACACTAACCTTCGTACCCCACCTGGGTATGAGCTATCACAGCCACTGTCCTCCTTTCCTGTCCTGATACTGGTTCTTTGGCTGGCTTTGCAGGTCGAAGGGCCTCCTTCCACCTGGAATGTCTGAAGCGACAGAAGAATCAAGGAGGAGACATCTCTCAGAAGACAGTCCTGCCTTTGCATCTGGTTCATCATCAGGTAGCCCATACTTTTGGACAGGCCACTGGCCACTGCCTAGCTGGCTAGACAGTCCTCAGGAGGGTGGACAGACCCCAAGCTGTCAATCAGCCTTCCCTGTCTCAGACCACCGGTACACTTTACTCCTGGCCCTGACAGCCTCCAAGCAGAGCTACCACTCCTTCTTTGCAGGTGACAGCCTTAGCAAAGTCCGCAATGTCACAGGGTGGAGGCCAAGGGAGTATTGGTGAGCAGGAACTCCTCGTGTGATCCTGAAACAGCAGCAGCAGCACAGGATTCTCCTGCACTTTCTTCTTGCAGTGCCAAAGATGCCCCCTCCCCAGACACTGGCTCACACTGCAGGGTGCTCAGGCAGAGGTGGTCATCCCTAGAGTTTGAAGACACCTGGAAATTTAGCTGCACAAAAATCCATCCACTGAAATATAGAAATGATCAAAGAACCTGCCAGCAACACAGTCAAGAGTAGGGTATGATATCTGAGGAAAACAGATCCTGGGAGACTCCAGTCTCTTGGTCATGGCTGACTCCAACTGAGGCAGTGAAATCCAAGACAACAAACATATGCTCAGTATCCTACAACTCACAGACATTGCAAAGAGTTATCCAAGTCCAGTCTGTTACCTCCGGGAAAACTGGTGTCTAAACCTGAGTTTCCCAACCTTTTTACCTTTTTGACTATATACTCCCTTACCATGGGCCTGTGCTTTTTTTTTTTTTTTTTTTTTTTTTTTTTTTTTTTTTTTTTTTCCGCGTCCGGCAACAGATCCCAACCCCCAGCGCCGCCCCCCCACCGCAACGGATCGCAACCCTCAGTGTTGCCCCCGTACCGGACCGGGGACCGGCAACGGGATCGCAAGCCTCGGCGTTGCTCCCGTGCCTCGCTCAGCCAGTGAGCGGGAGCCGGTCTGTATGTGGGATCCGAACCCTCGGACGGGAGCGCCGCCGCGCTTCCCAAGCGGCACACTATCCAGTGCGCCACCCGGGCCGGCCCTGAGTGATGTTTTTGTAGCCACAGGCATTCAATTGCCAACCAAAGCTTACAATCAGCAGAGATGGCAGTATGGCTCAGCTAAGCTGATACTACTTTAACTCAAGGAAACACGCTATTTTGCATATAGCCTGTGTGGCATGGCCCAAATATGTATGATTTCTCCTGGGCTTTCCAAAATATTGGGCATTACCTTACACTTCTCCCAGGTCTCCAGGCTGGGGAAAGCACTAGCCAGGGAGGGGAGGATAGCAGCACATGGGGACACTGTGTGCTATTTTATAAGATTTCTAGGAGTTGGTTTCACCCATCTGTTCTTATCATGCTGCTAGGACGGAACCTCTTTTTTATTTTTTTACTGCTTTTTATGCCTTTCTGCCCTCTGACCTACGCCATGACGTTCCCATTCTCTGTGCCCCTCAGAGCTGGGCTTTCCCTCTCACAGGGCCATGCTCTCACATGACACCCCACATGAGAGCACCTCGCACTGCCCAGAGCCAGTCATGATGGCAGCTGCGATGCAGGTCATGGTCCCTGCCCCCAGGATGCTCAGGAACATTTGGGGACAGAGGACAAGCATGTAAATTGTTTAATTACAATGCAGTGTAAGATTTAAACAATGGTACAAAGACATCCTGAGCTAGAGATTGGCAGGGCATTATTAATGGCTCAATTAATTGTAAAAATTGAAGCAACAAATGCTGGTTTTGTCCAGCTGTTCTGTTTATGTTGTTCACTACTTCACAGACCTTACTTCACTTAAACCTAACACCAACCCGCACGGCAGACAGACAGAGAGGGCGTGAGTGTCCTGGCTTTACAGGTGAGGCAGGCATCATCCTCCTCCCTGTTCTGCTCACGAGAAAACCGAGAGTGAGAGTCTACAGGTAATAGGTGATAGGGCCAGTGCTAAAAAGCAGATCGTCTTGATTACACTCAGTCACAGCTTTGTGAAGCTAGAGGAGAAAAAGACCACTTCAGACTGAGACGATCATAAAATACATTTTGAGATTGTTGAGACTCACACCAGGCGCTGATGAGAAAGGATTCAGACAGGTGAGCATGGTGACGGGGGCATCCCAGGCAGGTGGAACTAGCCAGAAAACAACAGCTGCAAAGCCACCACTGCGCAGGAGGCAGAGGCCTGCCTCTCTCGGGCCTGACCTCCCCAGTAACCCGTGCTCCTTGTGTGTCCACAGGCACTGGCAGTGGCGGGCCTGAGCCCCCTCCTCCAGAGAAGCCATTCCCCCACCACGTTCCCCAGGCCGTGTGCCCCCCCCCCTGCCACGCCCGGCGGCCGAGGCTGGCCCCTGCAGCCCATCCCCACCCTGCGGCTGGAGGGGGCCGAGTCCAACGAGAAACTCAATAGCAGCTTCCCGTCGATCCACTGCAGCTCGTGGTCTGAGGAGCCCGTCCCTTGCGGGGGGGGCAGCGCAGTCCGGAGAGGCCGGCCTGTCTCCCTCACTGTGCCCAGCCAGGCCGGGGCCCCAGGGAGACAGTTCCACGGCAGCGCCAGCAGTCTGGTTGAAGCGGTACGTGACTCAGAACTGCACAGCAGATGGGAGGGAAAGGTCCAGGGCAGCAAGGGGGTTGGAGTGGAAGATTGAGCAGGGAGTACCTGGTTCTTTCCTAAACAGATCGTGTGTCGGGTCTGAGCCAGAAAGACCTTCCCTCTCAGGGCCTGCAGGAGGGGGCATGGCACACAGGAAACTATGGCCACACAAGGTGCTCTCAGCTGCTATTGAGGCTGGGCCTGATGCACAGGGAGAAAGAGACTCCTGAGCAATGTGTCCCTGCCATGGGCCAGTGAACCCCCACAGAGGCCTGGGCTCCACCCTGCAAGCCAACAGGGGCTGTGGCTACTCGAGATGTAGGCACGAGCTCAGGCCACACTTCCACATGCAGAGGGTTGAGGTCTGTGGTTCTCATCCTGCCTGCTCAGGAGAATCACCTGGGGATCCTTGGAAACCTAGGCCAATGTAAACTGACATTTTTAAAGCTCTTCAACAGTTCTAATGCACAGTCAAGGTTGAGAGCCACTAGTCTACATCTAGAGAGTTTTTGGTTCCACTCGACTCTGCCAGTCAAAGCACCCACTGCAGTCCTGGCACCACACTTTAGGGGACCTTTGACAAGCTGGAACAAACCCAAAGGAGGACGAGCAGGATGGCAAGGTCCCTAGAAACCATCTCGCAGGAGAACTGGTGGAGGCAATTAGGGAAGTAAACCCGGAGAGAAGATGACATAAGAGACTGTGATACTCATCTCATACTATAACGGGTGGCACAGGGCAAGGGTCACAGTCCTGGGCAGGAGGTCAGGACTAGTGCCACCTGACAGGCAGCCAGATGTCAGCTCACAGGAGGAAGACCTCTCCAACAGAGCCCTCCCAAAGTGAGGGGGGCTCTCCAATAAAGCAGTGAGCCCCCAACACTGGACATATGTAGGCAGAGCCAGTGCCCATCTGACCATCAGGCTGTTGTGCAGGGGGTGGGGGCTAATCCAGATGACCTCTGAGATCCTCCTAGCTCCAAAACTCTGACACTGTGTTTGGCCTTGGGTATCCTTTATTCATTTGGTAAAGCTCTACCAAGCACCCACCATGTGCAGGCACTGTTCCAGGTGCAGGGGTACAACTGGGACACAGTCCCAGCTCTCCTGAGCTCACATTGTGGTGAGCAGAGACAGACGATAAATAAACATGTATATAATGTGTCAGAAAGGGGTGGGAGCACTGGAGAAAAATTAAGCAGGTGAGGAGATGAAGAGTGACAGGCGTGGGAAGGCGGGGTGGGACCAGCAGATGCCTGGCAGCAGAGGGGTCCCGCCTACACTGCTGCGTCCTCCCTCAGCCCCCAGGAGCTGACTTTCCCCGGAGCCCGCCCCTAACACACAGCGGGAGGAAGGGTGGAGAAGCTGTGGGGTGCGAGCAGAGCAGAGGCAGCAGCAGCCTCGCCCCCAGAGGCAGGGCGGCGCAGCGTAGCAGCTGCACCAGGGGCCAGTGAAGCTCTCTGGGAGAGAGGCATCCGTGGGTGCCGGGGAGGCGGAAAGGAAGGCCCGGCTGGGACCTGTCCCTGCGGCCCTTCTGCGAGCAGCGGCTTTACATGCCGGATGGCAGTTTTCAAAGCCCCTGGCCCGAGCTCCCCGCTGCGGCCGGCGCGTCCCGCTGCGTTTCCGCGAGCGCCCCAGCGCACGACGCGCGCTTCCAGAAGCCCTTGCCCGGCCTCGGGGTCGCGTGGCTCCAGGACACCCTTTTCTCACGCCCTCCACCCCTCCCCTCCAGGTCTTGATTTCAGAAGGACTGGGGCAGTTTGCTCAAGATCCCAGGTTTATCGAGGTCACCACCCACGAGCTGGCCGACGCCTGCGACATGACGATAGAGGAGATGGAGAACGCCGCCGACGACATCCTCAGCGCGGGCGCGGGCCCGAGCCCCAACGGCTCGCTCGTCCCTTTCGCTAACTGCAGGGACCCGGGGCAGGACCGAGCGGGGGCTGAGGAGGAGCCCCAGGACAGCAGGGCCTTCGTCAGCAGCCTGTAGTGGCCGGCCTGGGAGCCGCGGGGTTTTTTATTTGTTTCAATGTTCCTAATGGGTTCGTTTCAGAAGTGCCTCACTGTTCTCGTGACCTGGAGTTAACCGGAACAGCGTCTTCATTCATTTCTGTGGGGACAGACGCGGAGCCGGGTGCGGGAGCGCCCCGGGAGGGCAGGGCGCCCGGCGCGCGCGGGCGGGGGCGGGGACAGCCTGGGCTTCCTGCAGTCGCCCTCACCAAAAGGACCCTGCAGCAAACGGGTGTCTTTCAACTTTGCTTGTAAAAAGTCATTTGCACATATTCTGTATGAGCCTCACTGTCTCCGTAGAGCCAGGGCCCTGCGCGTTGGAGAAGGGAGCAGGCACGACTTCCCGCGGCTCGCAGCCCGGCCACCTGCGCCCACCTGCGACGGGATCACTTTACCTGCACAAGCCACGCCCAGCCCCAGGCCCGCAGCCGGGCGCAGGCAGCGCGAGGACGGGCTGGCACCGCCCGCTCTCCACGACACGAGGTGGTGCTGAGCTTCTCTCGAGCGCTCTGTTTCTGTGGTTTGACATTCTTCTTGGTAGCATGTTGCAGTTTTTGTTTTCTTGATTTTTGGTTTTTTCTTTCTTTTTTTTTTTTTTTTTCCCAGGGGGAGGGGAGGAAGAGCGTGTTTACAGAGTTTTGTAGCCACCCACTTTACTGTTTTCACTTTTGCAAATGTAAATCGGATTTGGTTTTATTGTATGATTTAAACGGTTGTGGTTTCCTTTTTCCACGGAGGGTTCAATAGAAGCCGCTGTTGGAGAGTTTTACCAACCATTGTGTATGCCCAATAATTTGTTATGATTTTCTTAGGTAGTAACATTTTTTTTTTTCTGGTTTGGTTTGGTTTCATATTTAAAGGTAATTGGCAATGCACTTGACGTGGTCTTGCACATATGGGTGATTGAGTTGGGCTCCTTATGCTGGGTGTACTGTGGGTGCGGGAGAGAGGAAGCTTGTGTGAGCGTCCTTGTGAGTGCGCGTGTGTTACGCGTGTGTGTCGTGGGTTGTCGGTGTCGTATGCCGTCCAGGTGTGTATGCACCCCGTGCATGCGACTGAGTACGCAGTCCCCACTTCCTGGTTTAACTGTGGGGAGATCTGAATCTGGGGCCATTTGAAAGCAAAAACAAACCACTGTCTCTGCTTCTGAAATGGGGATCAGTAACTGCATTTTCTGTCCCACAAGATATGCAAAAACAATGCAATAATATTCATTTTGAAAATACAATTGTGAGTTGTGTTGGCATTTAAACTGTATTTTAAAATACACAAATTTAAGGGAAAAATTCAAGAAGGCATTTTGCTTCGATATATTCCGTGTAATGTTTTATTGCATTGATGATGTTTCTGTTGAAGAAACCGTTATACTTGAATTCAGGTCAGTTTCAGTATTTTTCAAATATTTTTTTAAAACTGAATTGCAGTTGTGCCAAGCGAATATAATGAATTGAATTAAGTTTGTTTTTGAATTCACTTCTTGTATATTTTGCTGCATGTAAAGTAAATCATTTCGTATTTGGAGTGTGACAAGCTTTACCTTTGAACTGTTAAGTGCTTTTCTATCTGTGGTCGGGGGAAAGGGAACAATTTTTCTTTTAGTTTGTACAATGAGCGAAGGTGCCATCAGTGTAAGTCAATGTTCTGCTGTCCACAAACAGGTCTGGACATTACCGTTTTGCATATCTTGTGTTCGTTTCCATTTCCCTCAATTTTTCCAAAATCATGCGATGGATGTTTTCGTGCCACATCTTGCTTTGAGAGACCAGGACGTATTTTATTCTGTCTCCACTCTCTCCGCTGTGCTCCGGTTCTCTGATCTGGTTCTCCTCTGGGAGCAGCCCTTCCCCAGGAGGTTGTAGTCGCCAGGCTGGCACCGGCGCCCCATGGAGGAGGTGGCTGACTTTTCCACTTGCTCCCGCAGCACAAGCTCCCCTCTCTGGTGTCCTCAGTGGCATGTGCACTTACTGAGAGGATAAAATTAAGCTGGGCTGGGTGCGGGGAGGGGCATCCTGGCTTCTGACAACTGGGTGAAAGCTTGGTGCACGTCAAGGTCAGTTCTCAGTGGCACCCGTCTCTCCACCCTGTCCTCGCTCCAGACCTGTCCCGCTGCGTGTGGCAGCCATGGGGCACCAGGACAGGGGGAGCATCAGGCACTCACCGCGGTGGTGAAAACATCGCTTATGCCCGTTTTCATCCACCCAGAGCATCACCCTATCGGTGCTGTGTCCTTCAAATGTATTCCTACAATGATGTCTGAAAAGGGGCTGGTTTGGAGGAAAGAGGACCCGACCATTCACCCAGAATTGACCCATAGACTCTCCTCCAGACCCAGGACTACCGTAGCCCTCCTCAGCATGCACGTGAGCAGGCTGGAAATTAAAAGAGGGCACAGGCCGTTCCTCAGTGCAAGTAGGTTCTCCTCTCATGGACCAGCTCATGAAGAAGAGGAGGGGTGTGCTGCTGTACATTTGGCCCTAGATAGAAATCTGGAGTTCGGGTTGAGCCTACACACATGCAAGCACACACATGCACACGCACACACATGCACACGCACGCACACACGCGTGCACACACACTCTCAACCTTTCCACGCTGCCATTCCTTTTGAACTTTCATCTGCATCACCAAGCTTCATTGGCCAGTGGCACAGGCTGTGGCAGGGCTCGTGCCAGCTACTCCCAGTGTCCTGCCAAGTGACCCTAGCTTTCGCCACTCACACCCACAGTCAGCATGGGCGAGAAGACCCGAGCAGCCTTCCTCCCTGTGCCCTACAAGCATGGTGTCCGCAGTGACAAGGGCACCTTGCCCTGTGCTGCTGTGAAGGGAGGCAGTGCAGGTGGGAGTTCCCTGTCTAGGGCAGTGGGTCTTTCTTAACCTGACCTCACGATCGACTAGTGTACAATTTGACACAGGATGCTGTCACCGTGGCATGGGGGACCGTGAGTAATGAAGTCAATGAACCACACCCAGTGTACTGAGTGAGGTTTACTCCCCACCTAAGATGAGATTTTCCCCATGACCTTGCGAGACATAATTGTCACATCTGCAGCCCTCCTGACAACGCTGAGGGGCACGAGATGAGCAGCCAGTGGCTGAAGGACTGAAAGGACTAGGAAGTGCTGCTTGGTAGACTTCATTTTGATCTTCCTCTGACTGGCCCTGCCTCTTTTATCCCCACGTTAGTCCTTTAATAATTATTCATGTGCATGGCCACAGTAAGCAGAAAGTTCTGCAACTGTCTCCTTTCTGCCTGTTCCTAGGTTTTTTGGTCTGGAGGTAAAAGGAGACTTCTCCCTGGCTTCTGGCTTGATTCATGAATTTCTCCCCGCTTTGATGCAGGAACCGTTGGTTCTAGCCCCTTCTGACCAGACACAAGGAGCAGGGCGGCCACAGAAGTATGCTCTCTAAACCACATCAGCATCCTTCTGAGAAATAGGAACACACGAAATGGGGAGTTTGGAAGTCATCACAAGGATGGTGGTGGTTTTGCGGAGGCCATTTGGTGCACCTCTCCCTCCTGCAGACCACAAAACTGAACACGAATTAGGTTAGGCATAGAGCAGAACCTCGGCAGCCAGGGTGTCTAACCTAAGCAAGCGGTAGTGGTTGCCAAGGAAGGGATGACATCTCCATGCTAGAGACCCGGAATAATCGAAATATCATCGTCTAGGCATCAGAGACAAGTTAGCAAGGCTTCCAGAAGCCCTCTTTAATCCCCATGGGGATCAGAAGCTTGCTGGTGGGGTCTGAGCCCATTCTGCTTTTTAAAGAAGACCTGGCTGTGGGGAAAATGTCAGCACAGAGAGAACTGGAGATGAAATGGGGTCAAGAGAAGGGCATATTTTAGTGTCCTTTGTGTCTGTCCCCATTTTATGGAAAGAAGTGTGTTCAGCCACCCACAGTGACTGGCGAGGTGGAGAGGCGGATGCTCAAGGACCTGCTTTGGAAGATGGGCAAAATAAAACTCCAAGCTGGCGTTGTTTCCCCAGCCAAATCAACCTCTCTGGCCGGATGTGAGGGGTCTGTCACCCTGTCCTCCCTCTCTGCTGATGCCCCTCCCTCATACGTCCAGTCAGAAGGCAGGAGGGACACCCCAGTCCAAGTCAGCGCAGCTGTCAGGCGCCACACTCCAGGCTCTGCAGCAGCTACGTTTTGAGCAGATAAAAGGGAAAGATGTGACTGGAGGAAGCATCCTACACTTGTCAGGGATGGGACACCTTTCCCCTCCCTAAGCAGCTCTCTCTCTTCCGGTCCCCTCCCCCAGCCTAGAGAGGGACAACATCGAAAGGAGCCCCATGTGCAGATTCTTACAGTTTCTTTGTAACGCCACTTCTGGTTTTTCTTTATTTATTTATTTTTGTTTCAGAGCAATGTTTCATTGCTTCGAAACCAGATACCCTTATAACAGGCGAAGGAGTTTCTGCCAGATTTCCAGGTCGCTGGGGAGCCCGTTGGACACACACACTCTAAGGCACAAGCGCTGGGGTTGAGCTCTGGACACGTGACCTTTCCTCCTCCCGGAAGAGCAAGCACCGTGTAGACAGTGGTGGAGAGAGGGCCGGAGTGGCTTCCTCAGTGGAGACAGTGCCATTGGGGCCTATCGTTACTATGAAATAACTTTTATTTTGTCTACACTACAGCTAACATCAGTGCTTTTTCCTCAGATGATTTTAAGAGGCTTGATCCACAGCACATGAAGTGGTAATGACCCTTGGTCTTTCTAGTATATTAGAAAAGCCTTTTAGTCAGTCTCTGAAAAGGGCATACGAAATTGCAGCTGAATATATTAAGCAAAATGAATCAGTTCAACACTGAGAGCGGAGTCAGAGTTGGGATTTTCCATGAAAATTCCCTTTAGGCTCTACTAACAATAAGGAAGACAAGACAAAGACTAGATTATTAAACAAAAGTTTGAAACGTTACTTCTCCAGAGCCAAATCCTTTCCCTTCAGATCAGATACCGGCTGCTTACCAGGTGCACCTCCTTTTGTGAGGCATGTGTACACCCCAGCTTTCAGGATCTAAATCGTTCGACTTGTGTAAGGCTCCCAGAAAGAGTAACGTGCCACTTAACCTGAAATCAGGCATTTACTGCACGTTTGCCATCTAAAACTCACTGTGCACCTCACACCAAGGTCATTAGCGGAGAGAATGCTCTGGGCGGAAGAGGTTGTGGGCATCGCGAGGGGGTCATTTCTGTGTGAGGAAACGTAGAAATGGGCGGCATGGGTCTTAACCACTGTTTGGGCCTGGAGAGTGCCTGTGCTGGTGTCCTCAGAGCTCTCGGGTATATGAGCAGGGGACAAGCACAAAGGGGGTCAGGCACCAGCTGTAGCAGTGACTTACTCGCCAGGGGACCCCAAGGGCTAAGGTCTCAGACCCCCTCAATGAAGTCTCTCCTGAGCTTTTAGCCTGGAGAAGAGAGAAGAGAAGGCTCTTTCCTGTAGAGTCATAAGAGGAACAGAAGAGGACGGGTCACTGGGCTCTGTTCCAAGCCCCCACCCCAAGACTTCCCACCATGGAAAAACTACACCAAAGTTTAAAAGGCTAAAAAAAAGAAAAACCCTTGAGAACCCAGGGCGGATGATTTGTAAACAGTGCCGTGCAGGGGGCTGCTTCAGAGGCGGCTCCAGCGATCCAAACACTGCAGGCAGCGCACACCCATGCGTCCAGCTGCAGCTCGAGCCCCAAGCCCAGGCTCATCCCCTGGCTTCCCACCCAGGCCGCACGCTACCCCACAGCTGCATCCCACCTGCCCAGAGCCTTGCAGGAGCGCGGCCTTGCTCTGAAATAGGCCATGATGACAAGGGAATAGGCAGGGTGGGCAAGTCTGTGATGGTGGCAGTTGAGAACCACCTGTGCAAAACGCCCAAGTTCGTTAAGAAATAGGGTGGCAGAGCCCCCATCAGGAAAGCACTCTCGTAATATTGCTGTTTTATTTTCATACACCAGAGCTACCAAGCAAAACCTCCCCTTATGTAAAAGGCTCCAGATAAAGCCACTCCGTGCCGCCTCCCCTTGTGTCCTCTGCTCAGACCACCTTCGTGCCCACGCCAATCTGTATCATGCCTGTTCTCAGAGAGGCGCGGTCAGAGGGACAGCGCCTCCACTGCCACCGTCCCCCACACCTGCACACCCCACCACCCCCCTCCAGGCTCCACGACTTCACAGTCTTACTGTTGTAAATATTGTTGTACAGTTTGTAATCGTAAAATAATCCTGTTGTCAAAGGCCTCGCCTGCTGCGCCTTCTCACCCTCGAGAACGGCCAGGGAATCTAGAAGGGGCAACCTTTCAAGAAAAGCTTCAGGGTCATCTCTGTGTGAGACGCTATTGTATATTCCTGTAAGATTGCATTTTTATCTAAGGAATGATGTTATTTAAAAAACAAAAAAAACCACAAAAAACAAGAATTGCAAATAAATTTCTTAACAATGTCTACATTGGTTTAATCGTATCTTCCCTCTTCCGTATCCCTTCCTTTCTCCGGTTTCCTGGGGTCACAGAAATATGCTCAGCTCTCAGCTCTCTCCATAGTCTCAGGTCCCCCAAAGGGAGGAAGGCTGGGGAGGAGCCGGGAGGGGTGGGTCCACTGATGACACCCAGCTCCTCTCAGCAATTAACCTCATGTCTACTTCTTCCTTCCAGTGAAAATGCCAAGAGAAAAATGGTTGGAAAATGGTTGACAGAATAGGAGGAATTAAATGGATAACCCACAGACTGGTTTTGAATGAAGGAAGGAAAGACGGGAGGGGGAAGGGAATACAGGAGGGAATGAAGGAGGGAAGTAAGATGATGTGAGTACTTTGAAGTCTTTAAAAATGCAAGGGTTTGTTCTTTGTTACAATAAACTGACTCAGACAAAGCTTCCAGAATAATTCCCTGTGTAAGAATAATTTGTCCCAGAGGATTCCAGGCAGATGGCAGAGTAGGCACCACCAAGACTCTCTCTCCCCACTTAGACAACAATCTGTCTCATGCAACTACTTTGGAACTCTGGAGTCTACTGAGCTTACACCTCCCAGGGAGAGCTTGGACAGTAAATAGAGGTTAATTTCGGTCAATTTCTGCTCTTAGCACAGCAGCAGCCACCCATCCCCCACCCTCACCTCATGGCAGGCAACTGAGCACTTGTTCCAGGAGCAGCTCACATGCAGCTCGTGGAGATCAGGGTGGGCAAAAAGCACCCTGTCCTCCAGCTTTCGGGCATCTGTGCTTGGAATGCTGACTGCTGCTTCTGACCAGGCAGGTGCAAACACAGAGGTGGCAGCACCGCTGTTCCCCCTCCCCCGCTAGCCGGCTTGACTTCCAGGTTAAAGAGCCAGTACCCTTTCCTCCCCCTTTTCTCTTCTCTTTTTCCCATTTTGGGAGCAAGACATTAAATTCTAAGACGTTCAAAACAACTGTCTATACAGGGAAAATTAGAAAGTAACTACACATGCCTAGGGAAAGACACAGGCTCAGAAATGACCCAAGAAAACCTTAAGTTTCCACCTCATGCTGATTGTTGGCACAGAGACAGGCTACAACAATTTCTTTTTTTTAAGCAAACCCTAAAAGGGGAAAATCTGATTTCCAGAGTTACCACATGTTTAGATTCAAATGTCCAGTTTTAAACAAAAAACCACAAAGCATACAGAAAAACAAGGAAGTATGGCCCATGCAAAGGAAAACAATAAATCAAGAGAAACTGTTCCTAAAAAGTATCTGATGGCAGATCTACTAGACAAGGACTTTACAACAGGTATCTTAAAGATGCTCAAAAAAACCACTGGAAGATGTGGAGAAAGTCAAGAAAATGATGTATGAACGAAATGGAAACATCAATAAAAAGATA